TGCCCCCTCCGATCAAGAAGCGGCCCCCGAGGGGGCCGAGGTGCGCCGTGCGGTGACGTGGCCCGCTTCGGCCCGAGCTCGTTCGATGCCGATGTCTGCAGGAGAGCTCCTCCCCGCTCTGCGCAGCCCTGGCCGCGGCGCAGTCGCCGCCGGGCCCGCTGGCAGAGGCTCTGCGGCAGCAGAGCCTGGGCCCAACGCACACGTGTCTTCCCGCACCGGGCATTTCGGTTCTGAGTTTTTGGATTGGGGATTCGCCCCCCAAGTGCCTTTACCTTTTTACCTCTTCCTCCTCCTCCTCTTCCTCCTCCTCCTTCTCTTCCTCCTGATCCTCCTCCTTTCCTCCTCCTCCTCTTCCTCCGTACCCTCCTCAGTCTCATTGACACTTCTCCCCCTTCCCCTCCACATTTATCCCCTCATCGCCCTCGCCTTTCATCATACCCACAGTCGTCCTCGTCCTCCTGCCCCTGCCACTCCTGAGGCCGATGATCATGCTCTTCCTACTTCTGCCGCTGTTGCTCCTCATCCGCCTTCTCCTGCTGTCGCCTCTTGAAATTCTGTTCCTCCTGCTGGCATTTCCCTTCTTTGCGTCTTCCTCCTCTTTTGTCATTGTCCTTGTCCTCCTCCCCGCTGCTGCCACCCCCTAGGCTTCTCCCTTTCCCGCGCTGTCCTCATCCTCTTGCGCCGCCCCAATCCTCCTTCGCTTCCTCTTCCCTCCCTTCCTCCCTCCGCGGAGGAGAGGAGGGGGGAGCGGGAGGGACGTTCTCCTCCTATCACTACGGTTTCTTCGGTGCTCACTGCAGTACTGACTGAGGGGCGCCCCCCCCCCCCGCCGCCGCCATTTTGAACTGATTTTGGCCGGCGAGCCCGCCGCCAGTTTGTTGTTGCCTAGTTGCGATTACGGTTGCGCCCGCGGGCGGTTTGAAATGTTTCGTTTGGTTGGGAATTGAAAAATATCGCACTTCCGCGTCACGCGGTGCGCCTTTTTAAAAGAATTGCAAATATTTCTCGGGAGAGTCCCACGTCCGCCTAAGATATTATGTCTTGTTATGTTCGTTGTAGTTTTTCCAACGAGTTGCAAAACGCAGCCCGCCTGAATAATTCCGCACTGGTCACAAGACGATTCGCCGCCAAATTCTTACGGGGAGTTCCAACTGATTTGAATTCGTTAGTTCGCCTTGCCGCCGTTTCTTTCGATACGTCAGTTACTGTTTCAGTTGTTGTTTCTCCGTCGCCCGCTTTTTTTTCTGAAATGGAGTATGTTGTATTGCTTCCAGTGTGATATCCTCCTCTTCGTCCTCCTCCTCCTCCGCTTCTTCCTGCTCTCCGTCCTCTCTTTCCATTCCTTCTCATCATCGGGCCATTTCGGATCAGGCACTTGCTTTGCTCAGGAGCCGCATGTTCACACCTGCGCTCACTCCATCTCACTGCCCTCTGCGGCTCTCTATGGATACTCTGCAGTAGTCTCACATGCTCGTGTTTTCTGGGTGTTTTGCCAATTCGCGCACGGCCTACAAGCTCAGGTCGGATTTCGCTCACATGCTGGCAAGGCATTGCCACCAGTTGCGCATGCCGATGGATCACCTGATCAACTTGCTGAAGGTCGTTCTGTTGGACATGTGCCTGCAGGCTGTGGGAATATCGATCCACTGTCGGTCTTTACCGAGGCAGCGTTCCTGCGGCTGTGCATCCGGATGCTGTCTCCCGTGGCAGCGATCGCCGAGATTGATGGGTTTCGCTGCCGTCGATGCGATTCTTCGCGGTGCTGCTACTGATGGCCAACATGCGCTTCATGACGGCGATCCTCGCGCCGCCCAGCGTGCTGTTGTTGGACTCCGTCGTTCCGACCTTGAGGTAATTATGGGCTCCAGTAGTTTTCTACTTAAAATGGACACCCAGCGAGCCAAGGTCATGTTGGTGTTCTTCCCAGTGCTGTGAATACTGCAGGGCCTCAGGTTGTGTCTCGCACTCTAGTGCGTTTCCTTGTCCTGCTGTTTATGGTCTTAGTGTGGGCGTATGTGAGATTCCTGCTACATGATGCCATGGATGGCCTCCCATCTTTCAGACTCGAAACACCATGGCCGAAGCCAATGCGTTCGACGCCAATTTCGAACCCTCTAAGCGGCTTCGCGAATTGATAGGGCGGTAGCGATCGTCCTCTGTCTCCTCCTCCTCTTCCGCCCTCCTCGCTTAGGGCTTGCGCTAACATGTCAGCGCCGACTATGTAGCTTCAAAACTGATTCCAGGATGTGGTTGCTGAAATATGTAGCGCTTGGGCTGAGCAAGCCGTAGCACCCAGGATTTCCTTCTCGGCAGAACGCTTGGAGTTTTTCTGCCGTGCCGTCTGTGCCGCTTCCCCACGGCAATTGCGCCCCCCTTCAAAACAGAGAGCATGAGCCATCATCAGAACTACGATTATTATTGTCGTCATCCTCATCATCATCATCATCATCATCATCATCATCATCATCATCACCACCACCACAACCATCATCATCATCATAACCAGCATCATCATCATCATCGTCATCATCACCATCACCATCATCGCCATCAAAGCCACCGCCATTATCTTCGTCACCATCACCATCACCAACGACGTCAACACCGCCGTCATCATCATAATCACCATCCTCACCATCATCATCACCACCATCAACATCATCATTATCATCATCATCATCATCATCATCATCACCATCATCATCATCATCATCATCATTATCACCGTCATCATCATTTTCATCATCACCATCAGCATCAGCATCGTCATCATCATCATCATCATCATCATCATCGTCATCATCAAAAGTATCATCATCTGCATGATCATCACCATCAGCATCGTCACCACCATCACCATCGCCATCACCATCACCACCATCGTCGTCATCATCATCACATTATCGTCATCATAATCTGCATCCTCGTCACCAGCATCATCATCATCACCATCATCATCACCATCATCAACAACATCGTCATCGTCACCATCACCATCATCATCATCATCATCATCATCATCATCACCAGCATCACCATCATCATCATCATCATCATCATCATCATCATCATCATCATCATCATCCGCATCATCATCGTCACCACCATCGCCATCATCATCGTCATCATCATCACCATCATCATCATTATCATCAGCATCATCATCATGTTCATCATCATCATCGTCGTCATCATCATCATCGTCATCGTCATCGTCATCGTCGTCATCATCATCATCATCACCATCATCATCATCATCATCATCATCATCATCATCATCATCATCATCATCATCATCATCATCATCATCATAGTCATCAGCATCATCATCACTACCCCTCATCCTGCCACCCCTGCTTGCTGATCCTGCTGCAAATCCTTCCTCCCCCGCTTCCTTCCCCTACCCACGCCCCCCACTCCTCCACGCCCCCCCTCCTCCTCCCTCTTCGTCTTCGTCGCCCTCGTTGTCCCCGAAGAGGCCCGGGGCGCGTCCGCCTGCGCCGGGGCACTGCGGCTCCTGCTCCTCACGGCCCCGGCGCCGCTGGCCGCGGCGCTCGCGGGCGAGCGTGAGGCGCAGCTGCTGGCGGTGCCCGCGGCGCTGCTGTCCGCGGGCCTGGACCTCGTCAGGAGGATCGCAGGGCTCCTCCCTCCGTCCCTGCCTCCGTCCCTGCCACCGTCCCTGCCTCCGTCCTTCTCCCCCTCCGCCTCCTGCCTCTTCCTTGCCTCCTCCCCCCCTCTTCCTCCTCCTTCCTCCTCCTCCTTCCTTCCTCTCTCTCCTCCTCCTCCTCCTCCTCCTCCTCCTCTCCTCCTCCTCCTCCTCCTCCTCCTCCTCCTCCTCCCCTTCCTCCTCCTCCTCCTCCTCCTCCTCTCCTCCTCCTCCTCCTCCTCCTCTCCTCCTCCTCCTCCTCCTCCTCCTTCTCCTCCTCCACCTCGTCCTCCTCCTCCGCCTCCTCCTCCTCCTCCGCCTGCCACCCCTGTATGGGTACCAGCAAGTTCCAGCGATCTCCTCCTCCTCCTCCTCCTCCTCCTCTTCCTCCTCCTCTTCCTCTTCCTCCTCCTCTTCCTCCTCCTCTCCTCCGGTCGTGGTGCGTGTTGCTCTGTACGCAGTGACCACCATCACCACCTCACCTCACTCCTTCCTCCGTCCTCCCTCATCCCTCATCCCTCCATCTTTCTCGTCCATTTTTCTCGTCGGTCTCCTTCTCCTCCTCCTCCACCTCCTCGCTTTTCTTCCTCCTCCTCCTCCTCCTCCTCATCATCATCATCATCATCATCATCATCATCATCATCATCATCATCATGGTCAGCATCAGCGTCATCACCATCAGCATCATCATCATCATCATCATCATCATCATCATCATCATCAGCATCATCATCATCACCATCATCGTCATCGTCATCGTCATCGTCATCATCATCACCAATCATCACCACCACCATCGTCACCATCATCGCCTTAATCATCATTACCGTCATCACCGTCATCACCATCATGATCATCCTCATGATCGTCATCATCATCGTCATACTCATCACCATATTCATCGGCATAATCATCATCATCGTCATCATCACAATGACAATCACCATCATCATCGTAAGTCTCATCATCAACAGCAGCATCAACATCAACACCATCATCATAAGTGTCAATATGATTATCATCATCATCATCAGAGTATGCAAAAGAATCATCATCATCACCGACACCAGCATCAGCATAGTCGCCCTCATCATCATTACCATCATCATCGTCATCATCATCACCGTTATCATTATCAGCATCACCATCATGCCCACCATCGTCGTCATCGTCATCCTCATCGTCACCATCATCATCATCATCATCATCATCATCATCATCATCATCACCATCATAACCACCATCATCGGCGTAATCATCACCATCATCAGCATCATCACATTCAGCTTCATCACCATCACCCGCATCGTCATCGCCATCACTGTCATCACCGTCAGCATCATCATTACCATAATCATCAGCATCATCATCATCATCATAATCAGCATCATCATCATCATCATCATCATCATCATCATCATCATCATCATCATCATCATCATCATCATCATCATCATCATCGTCAGCATCATCGTCAGCATCATCGTCATCAGCCGTCCTCTCCCCTCCACCTACCTGGCGGGAGCGCCTGGGGGGGGAGGGGCAGCACAGGAGTGTAATGTGTGGTGATAGAGCAGGGGAAGGAGGAGGGAGGAGGGCGGCCACGGTGGGGGGGGAACGGGGGGAGGAGACGGGGATGAGGGTTAGAAGGACGTTCGTGGAGTGGAGACGACAGGGCGAGACGGGGGGCCAGATAATCTCATTTCACCTCCTCCTTCTCCTCTTCCTCCTCCTCCTGCTCCGCTCTCGCTTCCTTTCTATCCTGGTCATCCTTTCATCATCCTGCCACTACTATTCCATTCTGGAGGCGTCTTTCTTCCGTTCTGCAACCTGAGCACTATGCAGGTCTCGAGCCCTCTGGCTCGTCCTCCGCATCCCCCCTCCCTGCCCTCAGATTCCGTCCCCACCCACCCCTCCCTTCCCCCAACCCCTCCCTCGACTGGATCAGGTGGGAGGGTGGACAGTCGAATGCTGCCAGTCGCGTGCATTTTTGCCCGTTGTGGGGTCCAGATCCCAATAGCGCCTTACGGCTGAAGCTTGATTGCGGTCGGCTTGCTCGAATCGAACCCCTTCTCCTCCATCCCCTCTGTCCCCTCCCTTCCCCTTTTGCTTTCCCGCCACCCCTCCCACTCCATCCCCTCCGTCCCCTCCCTCCCCCTTTTGCCTTCCCGCCCCCCCCCTCCCTGCCCCCCCCCTCCCTGCCCCCCTCCATCCCCCCCCCTCCCCTCCCTCCCCTTTCTGCCCCCCACCCCTCCCTGTCCCCCTCCTTCCCCTCCATCCCCTTCGTCCCCTCCCTCCCCCTTCTGCCCCCCCGCCCCCCTCCCCCCACCGTCTCCTCGCCTCGGTTCCCAGGTCGCCTTTTTGCCCCCTTTTTCCCTTGTCGCGCCCCTGTCGCCCCGCGCCCCGCTGGAGGGAGGCGCTCTCCCCAGAGAGCCCCAAGGAGCAAAAGTCACAGCGTTCCCGCTGGCATCTGGAGATTGTTTGGGGCTCCTCGCGTTTTCGGCTTCCCGACGCTCCAAGACGGTTCAGGAGGTACCCAAGATCGCCCCCAGACGACCCGGTGCGGCCCGGGGCTCTCGGGGGTGGGGGGCGGTCAGGAGGCGCAGGTGCCTGCCGTTCCCGATCTACTTGCTGCTGGCGTACGCGGCGCAGCTGTCCGCCGTCCTGCTGCTGTCGTCGCCCGTCGGCGGGCCGCCCGCTGTCCATCAGGCCGGGAAGGTGCACACCATCTCGATCGTCATGGCCGCCCACAACGAGCATAGGCTCGGCCAGCACAAGGGCAGGGGGTCCTGGAGGGAGCGCGTCTTGGCGGGCTGCCTTCGTTTTCGGCCCTCGGCCTCCTTACCCCTCCTCCTGATCCTTCTCCTCCTCCTCCTCCTCCTCCTCCTGCTCCTGCTCCTCCTCCTCCTCCTCCTCCTCCTCCTCCTCCTCCTCCTTCTCCTCCTCCTCCTCCTCCTCCTCCTCCTCCTCCTCCTCCTCCTCCTCCTCCTCCCTATGCCTGTGCCACGGGTTGTGCCCCTCCACGTCTGGTCGGGTATCGGCTCTGGTAGTTGCTCCCTCGGTCCCGCCACAACTTGTGTCAGTTTCCCTGTGCTTCGGTTTCCCGCCCGCCCGTCTGCCCCGCCCCGAGGGCCCTCGCACCCCGCCTGCACGTTCGTGCTCTCCTGCTCCTCGCTTCCTCTCTCCCTCTCCGTCGCCGCGCGGCACGGACTGCTGGGAGCTGCCTGCGCGGGGCCGTCGTCCCCGAAGGGCGGTGCAGCGCGCGACCGGACGTCGGGCTCGTGGGAACCTGCCGGGACCCCGCGGCCGGTCGACCAGCGACTCGGGACGACACGCGGGTCCCCAGGCCTAGGACACGTTTCTGCTGGGACCCCCTCCCCTCATGCTAACTCCTCCTCCTCCTCCTCCTCCTCCTCCTCCTCTTCCTGCTCCTCCTCCTCCTCCCCCTCCTCCTCCTCCTCCTCCTCCTCCTCCTCCTCCTCCTCCTCCTCCTCCTCCTCCTCCTCCCCCCTTCCTCCTCCTCCTCCTCCTCCTCCTCCTCCACCTCCTCCTCCTCCTCCTCCTCCTCCTCCTCCTCCTCCTCCTATAACGCCCGAAGGAAGTGGGCGGTGCGAAGGGGGGCGATGGTCGGCGGCAGTGCCCGCTCGCTTCGGACAGCGTCCGCTGTCGCAGTCCGTGCCTTTTCACCGCGAGCGTCGTCTGCCCAACAGTGGCCGCAGGCGAGTTCTGGCAGCTTCCGCTGCTGCGCACCGACCCTGTCGAAGCTGCCTCCATCTCGGGTGTGTCAAGAGGTACCTGAAGCGCACATTTGACAGCATCTACGCGACCACCCCCAAGGAAGTATTGGCCGAGATCATCCTGGTGGACGACGGCAGCAGCCCTACCCTGGCCAGCGCCATTCCAGATCACCCGGAGGTGAAGATCATCCGCCACGAGGACAGGCGCGGCTTGATCAAGTCAAAGGTCGAGGGCGGCAATGCTGCAGTAGGCGACATGATCATGTTCCTGGATGCGCACGTGAAGCCAGAGCCAGATTGGTACCAGCCGCTGCTCACGCATATGAACAAAAATTACAAGCGCGTTGTTGTGCCGCTCATTCCTATATTGGATGGTGACACGTGGCAGCCTAACAACAACGCAGTGGGCGTGAAGATGATGTTCGACTGGGGGTTGGGGTTTAATTGGTATGACGATGGCAATGATCTAGTTCCCTGCATGAGCGGAGGCCTCTTCGGTATCACCAGGGATTGGTGGCACGAGTCGGGCGAGTATGACTACGGGATGATGATGTGGGGCGCGGAGAACATCGCGGCTGGGCAGAACTTGGGCGGGGCAATCAACGCGGGGAGCCCAAATATGTATTCCACCAGCAGTCTTGGAGCGTATCGGAACTCTTCCTCCAGGGACGTTGTGAGGGAATCGGTGGAGGGGGGCATTGTGATGAAACTCGTTTGCTCTTGGGTTGACTGCCCCCCGATTTCTACCCACCCGAACATCGAGCAGTCCATCCGCATTTGGTTATGTGGCGGCGAGGTGTACGTCGCCAGGGATTCCCGCATCGCACATGTGTTCAGGGGGAAGTTCCCTTACCCGATCAACAACACCCAGGTGCTAATGAACAAAGTCCGCACTGTCGAGACGTGGTTCGACGAATACAAAGAATATTATTACAAGAAAGACCCAGTGGGACGATCTTTTATCGGCAACGTCGGTGACATCTCGGAACGACTCGCACTCAAACAGCGTCTACAGTGCAAGCCTTTCAAGGAATACATCGAGAAGTTCAAGGATGTCTTCAAGAGTAGGGGAATGCTCCCCGCAGAGGTGTTCCTGATCCGCGACATCAGAACGAACCTTTGCCTCGAGAGCACCCGCGACCACGCACACCTGACTCAGGCCGAGTGCGACCCGGAGCTGACAGGGCAGCAGTGGTCCCACGTCAAAGGCTTGGTCGGGTTGCGCAACGTGGCCGCCAATGCGTGCCTGGACGCCAACGCCGCGGAGGTTGGCAGGCCAGGCACGCTGGCGCTTCTGTACCACTGCTCCCCTGGCACCGAGGTGCAGTCCTGGCAGCTGCGAAATGGCCACATCGTGTGGAAGCAGTCATGCCTGCAGGAGCCAGGATAATATTGTCGGCGGTGGGACAGTTACATGTTGATGTTTCCCTATCTTTCTCTCTCTCTCTCTCTCCCTCTCTCTCTGTGTATTTGAACATGTGTATATTCTATGTGTATGTGTATATATATATATATGTATATGGTTTCCAATGCGGTGGGGATCGAGGGAGAGATATATTGGGAGAGATGGAGAGTGAGAGAGATCTATTAAAAACAGAGGCGCTTGGCAGATCAGGGCCTATGATCCGGTCCGTCAAAGGTGCGTCCTTCTGCCCCCTCTCGAGGAGGCCGTGGGGCCGGACCCGCCCAGGGACGGGAGGGACGAGGAGCAGGCGATGGCCTACCAGAGGTGCGGCGACTTCCTGCAGGGGAGTGGCCCCTTCGAGAAGTTCGAGGCGCGGCTGCGGCTCCTGGAGGACAGGTGACGGCTGCTCCCGGGCGGCGGCCCTCTCCGCGGGCAGACGGGCCCGGGCCTCGAGCTCGGTCGGGCGCGGAGTGGCCTCGGCGCCCGCCGTGGCCTCGTCGCGCGCCGGCCCGGGAAAAAGCTGAAGGCGGGCACGCGGTGAGAGCGAGGTCGCTTCGGGGAGGGCACCCTCGGGTTCTTCTGTGTCTGTTGGGTTCGGGGGCGGGAAAGAGGGGGGTGATGACCAGGGGGGGGTGGACATCATGGCGTGGGCCATGATATTTCCCCAGATCTCATGGCGCCTCTTCTTATTTCATTACGTCCCTGGCCTCCTCGCTGGGCCGCGCACATGCCGCCGGTCATGATTTACAATTACTCAATATGAATATACTCTCCCTCTTCCCCTGATGGCGTCCGGGTGATAGCCGCGCACCCTCCGCGTACTGTTTTTTACACAGGATGCCCGGAAAATCCCGGGAAACGACTCTCGCTGAGGCGCTGGCGTCATTTTTTCCCAAAATGTTGCTCTCGTTGAGGCGCCGGCCTCATTTCTGCTCCCGAATCGTTCCGAATCGTGCTCCCGCTGCAGCGTGGGCCTCATTTTCGGATCGGTGCTTGGCCTCCGTCGTTCAGGATGGCCTTCTCGCCCCAGCGCGGGCCTTTTCTCGCGCGCCCATCCGCCCGCCACCACCGCGCCGCACCGCCACCACCACCACCACCACCACCACCACCACAACCACCACCACCACCACACCAGTACCACCACCACCACCACCAGCACCACCACCACCACCACACACCACCACACCATCACCACCACCACCAGCACCACCACCACCACCACCACCACCACCACCAGCACCAGCACCAGTACCAACACCACCACCACCAGCACCACCACCACCACCAACCACCACCACCACCATCACCACCACCACCACCACCACTACCACCACCACCACCACCACCACCACCACCACCACCACCACCACCACCACCACCACCACCACCACCACGACAACCACGCACACACGCACGCACGCACGCACGTGCACCACCACCCACCATGCACGCGCGCGCGGAGCCACAGGTCCGCTACGACACGCGTCCGCGGATAGAGAAAATCAGCGCCACGGTAAGGGATGGGAGGGAGGGGTAGGACGTCAGATATGACGCGAGCGCACCTAGCTTGGCACCCCCCCTCTTGGACAACCCCCTCTTGGCCGCTCCCGATGGATGTTGTTGTGCATCCCGGGGGAGGGTACCGGGTACCCTCCCATTCTTTGCTGAGGCTCTCTTGCCCCAGGTCCGACGGTGCCACGTTCTCGGGGACGAGGGCGCCGACCGTGCAAGACATGTTGATGCGTCGACGGCTTGCCGTGTCAGCCTGTCCCTTCCATCAGCAGTTGCGCGCGAACGCAGCCACCACGTTGGAGTAATGTAGCAGCCCTCCTGTGACTCGGACGGGGCTCGGTGCTCCTGAGGTTTTTTTCCCAACCCTCCTGCGTTGGGTTCTCGTTTTGAATAGAGCAGTGCGGTCGCGTCTCCTCCTTCTCCTCCTCCTTCCCGCCTCGTTCCTCCGTTCCTCTTCCCCCCTGCATCTCACCTTGCTCGTCGCCGCGTGTCAGCTTGCCTCCTGCCTGGTCATCCCTGTGCGGGGCTGCGATCTGCGAAACTGTCGCCACTTTCGAGGGCTGCTGGGGGGCCCAGCGGAGTGGGGTCATACTCAGACCCAGATTAGACCTCGCCATCCCTGGGGGGCTGCGATCTGTGAAACTGTTGCCATTTTCGAGGGCTGCTGGTGGGTCCAGCGGAGCGAGGCACCACGGGGATTCAGATTAGACCTCGCCATCCCTGGGGGGGCTGCGATCTCTGAAATTGTCGCCACTTTCGAGGGCTGCTGGTGGGTCCAGCGGAGTGAGGCACCACGGGGATTCAGATTAGACTTCGCCATCCCTGGGGGGGCTGCGATCTCTGAAACTGTAGCCACTTTCGAGGGCTGCTGGTGGGTCCAGCGGAGTGAGGCACCACGGGGATTCAGATTAGACCTCGCCATCCTTGGGGGGCTGCGATCTGCGAAACTGCCGCCACTTTCGAGGGCTGCTGGTGGGTCCAGCGGAGTGGGGCACCACGGGGACTCAGATTAAACCTCGCCATCTCTGGGGGTGGCTGCGATCTGTGAAACTGTCACCACTTTCGAGGGCTGCTGGTGGGTCCAGCAGAGTGAGGCACCACGCGGACTCAGATTAGACCTCGCCATCTCTGGGGGGCTGCGATCTGTGAAACTGTCACCACTTTCGAGGGCTGCTGGTGGGTCCAGCGGAGTGAGGCACCACGGGGATTCAGATTAGACCTTGCCATCTGTGGGGGCTGCGATCTGTGAAACTGTCGCCACTTTCGAGGACTGCTGGTGGGTCCAGCGGAGTGAGGCACCACGGGGACGGGGACTCCGATTAGACCTCGCCATCCCTGGGGGGGCTGCGATGTGTGAAACTGTCGCCACTCTCGAGGGCTGCTGGGGGGCCGAGCGGAGTAAGGCATCACGGGGACTCAGATTAGATCTCGCCATCCCTGGGGGGCTGCGATCTGTGATGTGAAACCGTCGTCACTTTCAAGGGCTGCTGGGGGGCCAGCGGAGTGAGGCCCCACGGGGACTCAGATTAGACCTCGCCATCTCTGGGGGGCTGCGATCTGCGAAATTGTCGCCACTTCCAAGGGCTGCTGGGGTGACCAGCGGAGTGAGCCCCCACGGGGACTCAGATTAGACCTCGCCATCGCTGGGGGCTGCGATTTGCGAAATTGTCGCCAGTTTCGAGGGCTGCTGGGGGGGGCAGCGGAGTGGGGTACTCAGATTCGACCTCGCCATTCCTGGGGGACTGCGATTTGCGAAACCGTCGCCACTTTCGATGGCTGCTGGGGGGCCAGCGGAGTGGGTCCTACGCAGACTCAGGCTCGACTTCGCCATCCCCCAAGGGCTGCGATCTGTGAAACTGTCGCCACTTTCGAGGGCCGCTGGAGGGCCCAGCGGAGTGGGGACATATTCGGATTCAGATTAGACCTCGCCATCCTTGGGGGGCTGCGATCTGCGAAACCGTCACCACTTTCGAGGGCTGCTGGGTGGCCCAGCGGAGTGACGTCATACGCGAGCCTGGGGCTTTAATCCTCTTCTTTCGATCGTCGTCCTGTGAGCCGTGCAATGCGTGCGCATCCCATGTAGTTTGCACAGTAATTCACATCGCCTACATTATCGTTTGTTCCTGCTAATGTTGGCCTACTCCTCTTGCCACTTGATGCACGTGGGTTGGGTACGTCGCAGGGTAATTCTCATTGGGGATGACAAGGGGCTTCGTCTCTGGATTGTTGTAAGACTGCGAGTGGTCCATTTGACTGGAATAATTACCCTTGCAAGGGTTGGCGGGGAGGGTTGGCCAAAGTGTTTGGGCCGCGGGGCTGGCCAGGGAAATTGTTTGATGCGCAGTTCTTTCTCTACCAGTTTTCAGATAGCTGCTTTACAGGAAGTCTTGACGCTTCGCGTATCCCCATGTATCCGTAGCCCTGGCTCAAGCTAGCCCAGGCCTGCGCGCCCCAGGGGGCAGGGCGGCGCCCGTCGGCGTCCCCTCCGAGGCGCCCCTAAACCATGGCCGAGGCGGCGTCGGCGAGCGCGCCAGTCCGCCGGGCCGCGCCCAGCCTCTCCGCCCCCGGGACCCTCGAGACGCGTCGGCGCCAGGCCGAGCGCACCGAGAGCAAGGCGGCCGTGGGCACGGCGGCGGCGAATCCGCGCTGGGCAGCCGCCTTCGAGATGGCCGGCGGCGAGACCAGCGACGCGCCGGACGCGAAGAAGGCAGACCGCGAGGCCATGATGTCCGCCATGAAGCGGATCCTGGGCGACGATCTCCCGGAGCGGCGGCTGAACGCCGCGCTGAAGCGGTGCGGCCACACCGTCAGCTTCGCCCAGTTCTGCGAGATCACCGCGGACATCCAGACGTTCATGGCCGCGGGCAGGGAGAGTGGCATGGACATGGCCGAGGCCGAGGAGGTCGAGAGGCGGACCGAGTCGAAGCTCAAGATGCAGCAGGAGCCCGACGTGTTCGAGATCCTCGGGATTGCGAAGTCGAAGGACATCGCCGAGATGCAGAGCCGCAAGGACCAGGCGCTGAAGAACGTCGCAGCGGAAACGTTCAAGGCCAGTGGAATGGCGGTGCTCGCGTCCAGGAAGTTCGTCCGCGGCGTGGGCGCTCGGAGGGACGCGAGATCGATCACGCTCGAGGGCGGCGCCGAGGGCAAGGACTCCGCCGCCCAGGGCTCGGGGCGCCGCTTCGAGGTGGTGCCGGGCCCAGGTGCGAAGCGCACGCTCACCGTGAAGGCCGCCGTCGGGCTCCCCAGGGACCTGCCGCAGATGCAGGTGCGCAGCACGGGCGCGGCCTGCTTTGTGCTCCGCTTCTCGCCGGACGGCTCGCAGATTGCAGGCGGCTTCTACGACGGCGGGCTCCGCATCTACGACGTGGACACGGCCTCCATGGAGCACTGCCTGAACCTTCCGAAGTTCATGGGCGGCACCTACACGCAGCTGGCGGCGATGGCGGGGCCTCCGGACCTCGCCCAGGTGGCGCTCGAGCGGAAGGACAGAGACAACGAGATGCGGAATGAGTCTGGCAGGGCGCAGGCCGACGGCGCCCGGGAGCGCCTCGCGCAGCTGAGCGTCGCGCGGGAGCCAGCCATCACGAACCTGCGGTGGTGCCCGACGAGGTCCAACCCCCAGCTGGTGGCTACTGTGGACTCTGCGGGCGCCATCGGCCTCTGGGAGGTCCACGCGAGGGGGAAGGATCCCAGGTGCGTGGCGCGGCTGAACGCGAACAAGGGGTCGCTCTATGCCTGCGCCTTCACCGAGAGCGGCAGCAAGCTGGTCGTCGGCGGCGCCGAGCGGGTGCTGAAGGTCTACGACGTGCAGACGCTCATCGAGTGGGCAGACTTGCCTGGAAAGGGGCACGATTCGCTCTGCCCCTGCGTGACCATCGGCAGCCAGGACGGTCTCGACGCCAACAAGATCACCTCGCACACCGCCAGGGTCATGGCCATCTGCCCGCACCCGAAGCAGGAGCACGTGCTGTTCTCGGCTGGCCTGGACAAGAAGATCCTCATGTGGGACACGAGGGTCAGCGGCGCACCCGTGGGCATCATCTCGGGCCCCGAGCTCAGCGGGGACGCCCTGGACGTGTCCAGGGACGGGCTCAAGCTGCTGGTCGGGAGCCACCGGACCAAGACTCCCTTGGAGGTGTACGACCTGAACAGGAGCGTCTTCGAGTCCCTCCCGAAGGTGGTGGACTCCTCGCACCCCTTGGACATGACGGCCAAGCCGCAGCCATCGCCGAGGGACGCGACGGCGAGGATCCACCGCTACTCGTGGCGCGCGAACGAGGCGCCTTTGCAGGGCCCGGGCCGCGCATCCGCGGGTTGTCTCGTCTTCTCGGCGGCTTGGGACGGCGACTGCAGGACGATAGTCGCCGCGGGCGAGAACGACAACCTGGCGCGGGTGTACACTAGGGAAGGCGACGACGAGATCACGGTGCTCGAGGTCGTAGGGACCTGCCTTGGAGAGGACCACGCCTTCTGGTCGGCGGCGGTCACGGCGGATGGGCGCAGCTGCGCGTTCGGCGCGGCGGACGGCACCGTCGTGATTTGCCAGGTGCGGTGAGATCTGAGGGCCTCGCCCGTTGATCCTTATACGTAGTGGTGCGTGCGTTAAACGCACGTACGCGTTCCATGCTTAAAGCGAGCATGGAATTCGGTTCCCCCTCGTCGTCGTCGTCGCCGTCGTCCTTTTTCTCTTCCTCGCTCCTCCTTGTATTTCTCCTCCCCTAGTCGTTCTCCTGAGCGTTTCCGCAACCTCCGTAGGTGAACTGTCTTGCGGTTGTTTGTACTTGTAGTTCTGATTGTGTCACCATCTATCTCGATTAATAAATGCGCTTCGCCTCACGTTTAAATGGCATCTGGTAGGATTGCGCATTTTAGATCTTGATATCGACGGTCTCGAGAGACACATTTTCAGGGTGCGTACATGTAGGGATCGGGGAAAAAAACAAAACAAACAAAAAGAAACTCCACCGCGTGGTCAGATTCAGCCCCAGCTGCGTTCCAGCGCTCCATGAGGTGGTCGCGGCAGCTGCGAATCTCGGCGACAATCGTGACCGGTACCTGCGAGGTTGCAGTTTACCGGCCCTTGGGCCAGCGTGTCCTCTCTCATCGTTGCGGCCCCGGCCAGTCACTGGTTTCGGATACGATGAACGACACACCGGCCCCCCCCGGGCAGCGGTGCGGTCCGTGGAGTGAGTGCTCTTTTGGTACTTGCCGTCCCCCGGCTCTCTCTGTGGTCAGATTCAGCCCTGACTGCGCCCCAACGCCTATGAGCTGGCCGCGGCTGCAGCGTACCTCGGCGACCTTCGGCCGTTACCCGCTAGGCGGCAGTACTGGCGCTTGGGCCTGCGTGTCCTCTTTCTTCGTTGCTTCCTGGCCGTGACTGGTTTCGGAAACGATGGCTGACACACCGCCCCCCCCCAGGGCAGCGGTGTGGATCGTGGAGTGAGAGCTCTGTAGGTCCCTGCCGTTCCTCTGCCCCTGTCTTAGCCGACCCCGCGTACGGCGGTGGTACGGACTTAGCGCTGACTGGTTCAGCCTTCAGCGTGTCGCTTCGGTTCTACCTGCCCGCTTTCGGCTAGGTGAGCTGCTCGGAGCTTGGCGCCGACAGGGCGACTTCTCCGTTGCACTGCACTGCGGTCTGCTTCACTTCGGTGCGGCTGGCGCCTAGGTGCGTTCGCACTAATGCAGAGCATTTTGCTCAGTGCATGTGCACACCTCGCATTCTTTGCGAATTAGCCCCGTACCGTGACCTGGACGCCGCTTCCGCTGCCTGTCCGTTGCTTCGGAGCCGCCGACCAAAACAAATATCCTCATGTAGCCCATCCAGGAGTGACCCCCAGGAGCGAGAACGACGACGGCGACAGGAGTCAATCACCAAGGCCTTCGCGAGTCTTTCGCTTTGGGAGCCTCTTGGAGGCCTCTTGGGGCCATCGCGGAGCCTTCTTGGGGCAATCTTGGGGCGTCTTGGGCTCTCTCTGGGCCCTCTCGATCAAACAGAGATGGTCCTAACTAGCGCCTCTTCCTTCGTCCGGGGCCGAAAAGTCGCCTCTTGGAGCGCGTTTGGGCGCTCTCGGGGCCGTCTTGGAGCCTCATTGGGCTCCAGTTGGAGCTGTTTTGGACAATCTTGGAACTGTCTTTGCTTGAAAGGTCTGTTGAAAATGAGAAAGCGTGATGGCCCAAATCAGTGGTTGTCCTGTAGTTGTTGAAGGATGTGTGCCTCTCGGGGGCGTCCTAGGGGGGCTCCCTGGCCACCTGGAGCCGTCTTGGTGCAGTCGTGAGGCCTATTGGAAGCATGCCGGAGGCTGCCTTGAGCCATCTTCGGCCGCCTCACGCCATGCTTGAGGCCACGCCGGGCTCACTGGAGCCCTCTCGGAGCCATGTTGGGCCAGAAGGAGGGCACGGCGCACCCCGCGGGACTCTGCGCAGGACGGGGCCTGGCCAGAGCGCCCAGTCCTGCAGGAGCCTGCAGAGCCAGAGTTTGGCCGAGCCGGGCCCAGGAACCGCTCGCGGCCCTGGGGTCGCCTCCTTTTCCTCCTCCTCCTCCTCCCCCTCCCCCTCCTCCTCCTCCTCCTCCTCCTCCTCTTCCTCCTCCTCCTCCTCCTCCTCCTCCTCCTCCTCCTCCTCCTCCTCCTCCTCCTCCTCCTCCTCCTCCTCCCCCTCTCGGGCACGGCGCACCCCCGGGCCCCAGACAAGGAAAAAAAAATCGTCAGGCTGCCCCCCAGAGGACAGCCGTCTCGCCCACTCGTCGTCGTCGTCGTCGTCGTCGTCCTCGTCCTCGTCCTCGTCCTCGTCCTCGTCCTCGTCCTCGTCCTCGTCCTCGTCCTCGTCGTCCTCGTCGTCCTCGTCGTCGTCCTCGTCGTCGTCCTCGTCGTCGTCGTCGTCGTTGCCACTTGCGTGAAGCCCCCGAGCTGCCTTCCCGCCACGCAAGCGGCGTCCGAGCCTCAGCACTGGCCAGGGGCCGCCACTGCACGGGCAGCCACCGAGAAGCCGAGCCCGGACGCCAGAGGCGCGGCGCTCGCGCCGCAGGCGCGCCGCGAGGTGCGCCGGGTGCGCCTCATCGCACCAGGGCGCTTCACGTGCGCGGCGCGCGCGGAGTGCGCCAGCACGCGTGGCAGCGCGCGTCGGGGCTCGTTTCGAGGCTGCCGATCCGATTCGGTTCGAGGTCGATGGCCTCGGGTGCCGGCTCGATGCGGCCTCAGGTTCCGAGGTGGGCTCCGACTTCTCAGTGGAGGCCCAGTAGCCCGCCGATGTCCACCGATTCGATTCTGGGCTCTCCTGGCACGCATCGGGAGCAAGTGAATCCCCCGCCGTCCCGCGGGGTGGTCAGCAAGGTGTTCGGGGCGTACGCCTGCAAACACTTCGCAGTGGTCTTTGGCAGGGATGGCGGGCCCGCGCACACCGCACAATATGCGGGCACCTCGATCACCCCTGTCAAATCACAAAACACGATCGCGGGGCGCCCGCGCATGCTCCAAGATTTTGCGGCAACGCGAGCTTCGCAGTCATTTGGGACAGGGATGGTGGGCTTGCGTGTGCGGGGGAATCTGACGGCACCCCCGCCGTCATCGTCAAGAAACAATGTCAAGTGATTGGTTTCGAGCCTTGGTGTTGCGTCTCAGGCGGGCTGCTCACCTCCTTGTCAGGGGTGCAAGTCCAACTTGGATTGACACTTCAGCTGGAGTCAACCAACACACAAAGATGTGGTTCATCCTTGCTTGTGCTGAACTTTGTCCGCAGCATATCGGGGGAGGGATGGGGAGGCGCAAACTTCCGATGGAGCCTGCCATGCTTGTGAACGATCCTGCGCGGGTACCTGTCAGGCTTTATTAGCTTTTTCCCGGAAAGGGCGCGGGCCCAGGGTTCTCTTTTAGTAGGTTAACCCCCCGGCCCCCCTGCGACTTGGGCCGGCGAAATTATTTTGCGAGCGGGCACGCACGGAGTAGGGCCGGCGAAATTATTTTTGAGGATGTCTCGAGCGAAACGCTTGTTTTTCAGAATTTGTTGAGGATGTCTCGAGCGAAACGCTGGTTTTGCAGAGTTGGGGATGTCTCGAGCGAAACGCTTGGTTTCAGAATTTGTTGAGGATGTCTCGAGCGAAACGCTGGTTTTGCAGAGCCGACCGCGACACGGAAAAGCGCTCCTCGCGCAGGAATTCCGAGGATGTCTCGCGCGTGCCGCGTCCCGCACGCAGGAATTTTGATTTCTTTGGGTTTTGACAGGATTTCTCAAGCGAAACGCTTGTTTTTCATAATTTGTTGAGGATGTCTCGAGCGAAACGCTGGTTTTGCAAAATTGGGGGATGTCTCGAGCGGGGGCCTCGTGGGGGGCCAGAATTCAGAGGATATCTCAGGCGCAATGTTTGTTTTCGTGTCCCGCTCGCAGGAATTCCGAGGATGTCTCGCGCGTGCCGCGTCCCGCGCGTAGGAATTCGGATGATTGTGATAGGATGTCTCGAGCGAAACGCTTGTCCCCAGCACGTTCAGTAGCGCGTCCCCTTGGCACGTCCCGCGTTGCGACCCCATGGCACGTCCCCTGGCACGTCGCCTGGCGCATCCCTTGGGACGTTTCGCGGCGCGTCCTCCTGGCATGTTCCCCTTGTCCAATTAGCTCTGGGGCAGCTACTATGTGTTCAGGCAGCTCGAGCTTAAGATCCAGATCAGTTCGGTCAGGACTCGGATGCAAAGGAGGACTCGATCCACGACGCTATAGAGCACAACCGCGGCATGGCACATCGCAATTCAGCACGGTGCAGCACAGCACAGCCCTCGGCAGGGTACATCAAGATCGATACACTCAGCATTGCAACTTGGCACGTTCCTTGGCACGTTCCGTGGGGCGTCCCTTGGCGAGTCCCCCTGGCACGTCGCGTGGCGCGTCCCCTGGCACATTCCGTGGCACATCCATTGGCACGTTCCGTAGCGCGTCCCTTTGGCACGTCCTACGGTGCGACCCCATGGCGCGTCCCCTGGCACGTCGCCTGGCGCATCCCTTGGGACGTTTCGCGGCGCGTCCTCCTGGCATGTTCCCCTGTCCATTAGCTCTGGGGCAGCTACTATGTGTTCAGGCAGCTCGAGCTTAAGATCCAGATCAGTTCGGTCAGGACTCGAATGCAAAGGAGGACTCGATCCACGACGCTATAGAGCGCAGTCGCGCCATGGCACATCGCAATTCAGCACGGCGCAGCACAGCACAGCCCTTGGCAGGGTACATCAAGATCGATACACTCAGCATTGCATTTGCCCGTCACCCAATCAGGTGTCTTTGAAAACGCTGCCATGTGTTACAGTTCTATATTCCTTTCCGGGTTCGTGGGTCGATCATGTTTTTGATTGTGGCCCGGGCAGTCAGAATCCTCACGTAGTTGTACAGCCATGTGTGGGACTTTCTGCACCACTTACGGGGTTTTCACTAGCCCAAAACATACCCGGACCCGGGGTCAGCTGGGGTGAAAAGGGCCGCCCGCTAGAGCGTTTTCGGCCTTGCCGCCACCTCGTCTGGGTACGGGTCGGTGCCCGAAACAACCATACATACCCGGACCTAGCTGGGGTGGTGGTTGGGTCACCCCGTCTAGGTACGGGTATGTATGGTGGTTTCGGGAGCCGACCCGGACCCAGGGGGGGTGATGCCCCGAGGGCCCCTTGCCACCCCGTCTGGGTAAGGGTACGGGTATCTTTCGCGCTCGAGAGGTTTGGTCAAATCC